GAGGCTTGAAAAACATGCCAGACGTGTGTGTGTGTGTGTGTGTGTGTGTGTGTGTGTGTGTATGCCTAATGGCTCAACAGGATGAAGAAAAGAGAAGTGTTTACAGCATAATCACATCCCATGGGGGTGGGGTGTATACTTGTGCCCTCCCCCCCCATCTCTGTCTCTCGCTGGCAAGATGCTGTGCTCTCTGGCAATGAAAAGAGACCAAAAGATAACCCAAGAGAAAAAAATGGGCATAGAATTAAGAACAGGCCTTTGACAGAGGAGGGGACTAGAAATGACTAAGAGCAAATGAATAGACTGGGAAAATGTGAAATAAATTTAAAAAATTAACCAGCCCTTTCTCACCCTTAAGCATCATATATCAAAAGAAAGAAAAAGTGGAAGTAATCTTAAAGACTCACCAAAAAAGGAATATATAAATATGTACTGTAGGATTCTAAGCAACTATTTAAAAAAAGATTGCTTCATTATTTAACGTGAGTGTCTTTTTCCCCACCCTTTTCTTCCTTCCATGTTTCCTCTTTTTGTCCCTTCGGAAGTTCCCTTCCTATAATATATACAGTATTTTAATTATATTTATCTTTATATCAAGTAATTTTAAATTTATGCTCAAATACATAATTTTTTTTCCTGAACTATTTTCGAGTAAATTTGAGATGTGATACCCGTATTTATTCTTACATACCTAAGTGTGTGTTTTCCAAAAGAATGACATTATTTTATATAAATAAGGTACAGTTACTAAAAAAATCAAGAAATTATCCAGCTATTACCAAAAATGGCTTCTCATAGTGCTCCCCCAACTGAAAAATCTTGGATAATGTGTTGAATTCAGTTGTCATATCTTTTTAGTTTCCTTTGATGAAGAGGTACAGGATGTCAATTTGTCTCACTCCTGGTAATTCCAACTTTGATTATTTGGTTATAACAGTGCCTACCAGATTTCTATTCCATTATGTAGTTATTTTTCCTTCTTTGTAATTAGTAAGAATCTTTGTGATACTTTGAGACTGTGTAAATATGTAGTTACTCCTCAAAATGGACCAAAATTTTAGCATTATTTAGGGTTCCTGCTTGAATCAGTTATTAATGATTCATGTTAATTTTCTAATTCTGTCATTTCTTTTTCATTGAGTTTTTTTATGACAAAGAAATTTCTTTTTCTCTCAGGGGTAATATTTTATTCAATTAATCTTTTACTACAGTTATTTATTTTGAGTTGCTTAAGCGATCCTAGATTGGGCCCATGGAAACTCCTTCAAGTTGGCTCCTATTTTCTAGTGTCTCCATCAATTTTTGAGAATTTTCTAACAGAACAAGATAGTCTTGGCTCATCATATACTTTCCTTTTCCCCACTCTAGAATCAACTGCTTCTTAGAGAGCTCTGATTCCTTTTTACGGAGAATAGTATTTCCTTTCCTTTATTCTGTTCTTTTATTTTTAATTACCTCCATTCTTCATTACTGTGTGTTTCTTTCTTATGCTATCCTGATTCATTTATTTTTGCATTACTACTTTTCTGCTTTAGTGAAGTTTTTGTGTTTTTAGTTAATTATTTATCTTTTAGGTGACTCTGCTAAATATTCGATATTGGTAAGCAGTCATCCTTGCTTGCTCTTTAGAACTCCACAACTTTCTGTTTTTCTCAACCTCTTTGAGGTCATTTTATTTATCTTTTGTTTTCTTCTACTTTCATTAGGGGTTGAAGAGTAGAGTTCCCTCAGATTGTGCTCTTACTCTGGGGAACTAGGGCATTGTCACTGCTCAGACATTGCTTAGGAGGATTTTACATTGGTTCCATCCCTCTGAGAATAATTTGGTAGTACAATGTATCTTCTGGGAGTAGAGTCTGTAGGTATTCCTATAAATATTTGTACTGATGTATATGCAGTGTTATTCATCCAAGTATTTTATGTCACAGCAAAAGAGTCGAAGATTAACTAAAACAATCTGAAAAGTAAACATTTTTCTCCCTTTTTTCTACTCATACCTGCATAAGGCTAGATTTCTTTTATATAGATAAATCAAAACAATGTATTGCAACAGAATGGGGAAAGCCCAAATGTCTATTATAGGAAGTCGGTTAAGTACATTTTCATCAAACAGTAGAATGCGATATTAATCAGCTGAATAAAAAATAGTATTATTATGGAAAACTGATCTCCATTAAACAGGAAAAGAGCAAGGTACAGAACATATTATATATTACCTTTTGTGTAAAGGAGACCAAATAAAATTATGTAGTAGTATTTGCTTATGTCATCATAAAGAATTCTAAAACAAGAAACTAATACTTTATCCCAAAAAGTAAAATATGAACTGGATAGAAGACAAAAGTGTGATGAGACTTTTTACTCTAGACCTCCCACCCTTCTTTTCCCCCTAATTGCCAAAGGGTCTGCTTGCTTGTCTCCAGAGAGAGAGGGGAAGGCAGAGGGAGAAAGCGTACCCCAGCAGGGCCTGGCCATGCTGTAATCCCTTTCCTCTATTTCTCTCACCCTCAGAATTGTGGGTACCCATGCACATGTAACAAGCATGTCCTTCAAGCCTCTGGGGCCAGAGCTTCAACTGTGGTCAGCTACATGGGATCCAGCTCCTAATGCGCAGAGCTTAACCACAATGCCAGCCTACTGTGTATCTTTAATATTTGATTCTTGACATATGAGTGATCTGTGTTAAATTAGATTTTTAAAAGAATTACTTATTTAACTTTATTATTTTAATTTTCTATAGGACACTTGTGCTTGCGAGAAAGAGAGAGAGAGAGAGAGAGCGAGAGCGAGAGCGCAAGCAAGCCATCAGGTCCAGGACTCCATCTGTGGTGGCCATGTGGGAGTCCAGCAACTTAACCATGCCACTGCCGGCTCCAAATTAAAATTTTAAAGGACTTCCAGTATAATTTAAAACTAGTTTTATCGTAGCAAATATTTATACTTTACAGTTCTAACCACTGGCCTATAGTATAATGTTCTGTAACACAGTATGTACAGCAGTTATCTATCTCCTCAGAATCATACTTTGCCATTTCCAGCTTCATCTTTTACATTTTTTGTAGTTCTGTCCCACAGATGGTATAATTTCATATTTGTGCTTTGCCTTTTATCTTCATATTCATCTTTTAAGAATCATTTTGTTCATTTGCTCTGGGAAGCTGTTCTGAACCTCTGCAAGGCAGAGTTAGGTGATTCTCTCATAGTATTTGCCTATTATTACTTTTATCACATTGCATTGTAACATTTAACTGCTTTATAGTGCCTGACATAGACACTCAGAGATGTGCTTTAATGTATTTCCTTGGATATTGTTGCCTGTAGAGTAAGTGCTATTCCTCAAGTAGCTTATAGTCTTTAATGTAGACAGACATGCAACTAATATAAGACATAGAGCAATAAGTAAGATAATAGGAAAAGATACATTTTCAAAAGAAGTCTTCGAGATCAGTTTTTTTGTTTTTTGAGAGATTTTCACTGTAGGGCGCGTGCGCTCGCCAGACAGACAGAGAGAGACATAGAGACAGAAAGCGAGAAATCACCCCCCAGGGGGGATGGTCACGCTGCAATCCCTTCTCCTCCATTCTCCTCTCGGGATCTTGGGCACGCACGCACACGCGCCCGGCGTGAGTTTTAAGTCACCGGGTCCGGGACACGAACCACGGTTGACTACGTGGGAGTCCAGCGACATAGCCATTATGCTAACTGCTGGTTCCCAAGATCAGTTTTAAAGATGGGCCCAGAGCCTGGATGGAAACATTTTACCAGGGCCTGTTTAGGAACAGCAGATAATCTGGGGTAACTTCAACATAGAGGATTCATGATTCATGGTGAATGGAGAAAAGTATAGGAACAGATTGCTAGAGGTCTACTATTCCAGTATGTAAGGAATTTAAATACTACATTGTAGGCAGAGTAGGACTACTGAATGTTTCTGAACAAGGAATCAATATAATTAAATCTGTGCTTCTAGATTTTATGTTTTGTGTGGGGGCCTTTGAAAACGAAGATGAGAGGGTACATATTAAGGTATTTTATATTATAAACTACAGTGTTGAATATCGGACCAATAAAATAACAACCAACCACATTTTCAAATTCTATGTATTTGTCTATGTAGTCCATTCAACCTAGGATTATTTCTTAGTCTAACAATGAGAGTCTGTTACTCTTTGAAGAGAGAGTTTATATCTTACTTTTATTGGTAACCCATGACAGATTTCTTCCAAATTTAATAGGTTCCCTGTTCTGACTACATTTTGACTGCATTGCACTTATTATTATTTTTTTAAAGAATTTTGCCAGAAGGTTCGTGTGCTCACCAAGCAGAGAGAGTGAGAAAGAGAGAAGACTGGGTCCAGGAGATGGCATGGAGGTTAAAGTGCTGGATTGCTAAATTGCCAGCCACAGTTTGAATTTTGTGCCGTTCGCTTGAAAAATTATACTGGGCGTGTGTGCGTGTGTGCCCGAAATCCTGAGGAGAGGATAGAGGAGAAAGGATTTTTGCATGGCCTGTTCTAGGAGGTGATTTCTCTTTCTGTTTCTTTCCAGGAAGTACATGCGTTCTGTTGCAGAAACTAAAACAGAAGAGAGAGTGCGTGTGCATGAGAGAGAGAGAGAGAGAGAGAGAGAGAGAGAAGGAGAGAGAAGGCAAGAAAGCACCCCACATGGGGAATGGTCATGCTGTAAGCCCTTTTCCTCCATCTCTCCTTCCTTTTGGGGTTTGGGGCAAGTACACACTCATGCCTGGTGTGTTTCTTGCCAGTGGTTCCAGGACTCAAACCACATGGTCAGCCACGTGGGATCTAGCCATCTTATCCACCATACTATGGGCTGGGCTATACTTATTTCTTATATAACTTTTCTTATATTTCTCCCTTTTAGTTGTTGCCTTAATTACCCCACAACTAATTGCTTTGTTTTGGAAGCCTTTCTATTTTTAAACTTTATTTGACCCATATTATTGTCTGAATGGTTTTCTATTTATTTCAGTAAACATTGAAATTGGCGTCAGAACTCAAGGAACTTGTTCTTTGGCAGCCCACGTGCTTGCTCATACTATGTGATTAGATGTGTGAGTTCCTCGGGGCAACCTTACTGTTTTTTCTTGACCTTAACAAAGTCGGTGATACATATTAGGCTCTCAATCAGGTAAGAAACATCAGTGGAACAGTATTGGTTAAAAGTTGACTTTAAATCTTGGCTCTACCACTGTCTTCTGGATCCAGTGTAGAGAAGTTATGTAGGAATCTAAGCTATAATTTTGTCATGTGTAAAATGGGTAAAATAATAGTTCCTTCATCTGTATTCGTCTGCTTAGACTGCCATAACAAAATAAAATAGACTTGGAGACTTAAACATTCATTTCCCCACAGTTTAGGAGACTGGATGGCCGAGGTTAAGGTGTCTGCTTATGGGGTACTAGTGAGGGCTCTCTTTTTCTGGCTTCCTGCTTTGCCCTCACATAACAGAGAGAGAGATAGAGGGAATGCATTCATGTGCATGTGCTCTCTTGGATCTCTTACAAGGTTACTACTAATCCTGTCACAAGGGCTCCAGTCTCATGACTTCATCTAGCCCTGATCTCCTCCTTAGGCCTCGCTTGGAAATATTGCCACTTGGGGGTTTACAGCTTCAACATGAATTTTGAGGGGGTATAAACATTCAGTCCATAGCACTAGTCTTTATTGCAGCCATGAGAGTTAAATAGTTTATGAAAAACATTTGGCACTGTGCTTCTAATGTAAAAAGTGCTATATTTAACATGTTTTCACCATTATTATTATTTTGACTTGGCATACATTTTACTTATGGGTAAGTGGAGAGAAATGAGAGGTTTTGCTCTTTGTTGATGGAGAGTATGTGATAACCTTAATTTAGAAGGAAAATGTAGGAAATATAGCAGGACTGCAAGCGTACTGTTAAGGGATGTAGAGAACTAGGTGACTAGGTGCAGATGTCAGGTTTCAAAGGATGTACCCTAACTATTGCTAAGAATAGAGGAAAGAAACTTTAATGGTTTTTATATGTATGGGACCTTTAAAATACAGTTCTTTATTTAAATCTTGGTTTTTCTTTTCTCTGACTTCATTGATAGGTTTGATTTTTCTTTGAGTCCAGGGAACCAGATATTTACTATTTAGATCTTTATCTATAAATAATAGAAACTTTATGTAGCTGGATTCTGAAAAGTTCTATTTCAGACATTTTGGATCTTTTTAAAAATAATTTATTATTATTATTATTTAATTTGAGTAGAGCAAGAGAGGGAAAATGGTAAAGCAAGCCACCAGGTCCAGGACTTGAACTGCAGTCAGACATGTGGGAGGCCAGCACTTTAACCTGCATGCTATCTGCCAGCCCCAACATTTTGGATCTTAAGTATATATTTTTAATTGGAAGAGGGCATAAGCACTTGCCCAAGAGACACAGGTTAGGAGTGGGGAGAAGCATTCTCCAGTGGAGTATGATCACACCACAATCCCTTCTCTATTTCTCCATTCTGTTGGGATTTAGGGCAAGCACACATACATGTTCAGGATATTATTAAGCCACTGGGGCTGGGAGTCAAAACATGGTCAGCTATGTAGGGTCCAGCTCTTTTACTTGGCTAATGAGCTGGGCGAAGGAACAAACATATTTTAAAATCAGACTGTAATCTATTCTTTCTAGCCTTTTGATTTAGGCTTTCTCCTTTCTAAGTTAATGAACCAAGGACAGATTTTATTAGCCTTTCTGGAACTATTAAGAATCCCTATTCTTTTATTTTTTTGCAATAATTGTCTCCACATTTACTTTATAGAGTCCTCTTTGGTGGAGTCCACAGGCGGAGAGGAAGCACGGGATTCATAAGATGGCGGGCGGGTGAGTGACTGAGAATCTGGAACTAGAACTTGGGGGAAAAAAGTAGTAGGGGTTGTTCCTTAAAAACAGGAATAAAATGTGAAGTGCAAGTTTGCAAATTACATTGTCTTGGTGAGGTATATAAAGATAATATATTGTTTTTGAGTTTTTCTGTATGCAAATTTTATTAATAATTTATATGGCATAGCTGTCATGCCATCTGTACTATGATTATATCAAAATTTACCCAGTGACTTGGCATGCATTGACAGTTTAGGGAAATACAGAGAAAATAGTATAGCTCAAAACAGATCTTTGATGGTAGTGGTCAAAGATGTACTACTAAATTGTGGTCTGAGGCTTTTTAATTTTGTAACAGAAATTTCAACTCTTAACTGTAAATGCTATTTTAATTGTACTAAGCAAGCACATATGCTTCTGGAACCACAAAATCAAACTTGAAAGAAAGAAAATATGAACAATTATAGAGGCAGTCTCTTTAATTAATAGGAACATAAAATAATCAAGTGACAAATACTTTCATTCAGAAAATGATCTTTTCCCGAGATCAACTTTATTGTACTATACATCATATAAACTCAAAGTTGTGATTTTTATGCAGCAAAATCAGTATTGCAGCAATGACATAAGCAAAAAAGGACAGTAAATTGTAGTCATGAAAGGAGTAGAGTCGGTAAAAGTGGAGCCATATGAAAAAGCAAAAAAATCTAAAAGTTGTCTACCCATTTCTGATGTTGATATTTCTCAATATAAAAATAAACTTCAAAGTGGCTGGTTTACTGATAAATTTGTGTATTTCATATGAATTTATGGAATGGATTGTAAATAGTATTTTAAGATAGAAAAAGTTTGTCTCTAGGATCCTTTCATGGCCTTTTCCCCCCTTGTTCCTTATGTTGTAGTTCCTCACCATCACTGTCATTGTCAAAAGGGATCCCTAGGGCCTGGCAGATGGCATGATAGTTAAGGCACTGGACACTCCCACGTGACTGACCACTTTTTGAGCCCCAAACCTGGTGGATTGCTTGTTCACTCTCTTTCTCTCTGGTCAAATTAGAATAAATGAATGAATAAATAAAATTAAATAAATGCTTTTAAAAAACTCTATTAAATTGGCTAGTTTATTTAAAAAAGAGAGAGAGAGCACTAGTCCTTTAAGTGTTGATTAGTTATCGTTACAAAGATGAGCAGAGCCAGTGTTGCAAGTGGTTAAATGCAGTGCACTGGGAGCTGTATCCCACATGGCTTACTGTGGTTTGTATCTCGTCCTGGCAGCTTGGAAAACATGCCAGGTGTGTATGAATGCATGCCCAAAATCTCAATGGAAAGAAAGATGAAGGAAAAGGGATTGTGGCTTGACATACCCTATTGGGGCGTGTTTTCTTTCTCTTTGCGCGCTCTCTCTGGCAAGTGCATGTGCCTTTTAGCAAGTATAGAGGGAAAAAAAGATAAATAGACACACTAACCTATTAATAGACTATTTTACATTTAAATAGGGCTCTTAACAAACAGAATTTCCTCATGATAAAACTTTAAACATTGACATCTGTTGGGAGAATGATTTTTGGGAAGAGACTTTTTTGAATCTGTTCCTTAAATCACAGCTTATTGCTGGATATGAAGAGGATTAACATTACTATAGGCCTGTTCTTTGTTGGTGTCTGGGTATGTGTGCTAGGCCCTTTAGCCATATAATATAATTTGGGTTCACAATGAGCTTGTGAGATCGACATTCTGAATCACATTTTACAAAAGATGAACAGAAAGAGATGCAGAAAGATGAAATGATCTTCCTAAAGGGGTCATAGTGGGGGTACATCTTAAAATTAAGATTTTCAGATTCCAAGGCCTTTGTCTTTACCCCTAAACCAATGTTTCATAATTTTCCTCTTTTGTTTTTCCCATACACAGTGAACATAACAATATCTTTTTAAAGAAGTTTATTTGATGTGAAGAAGACACACACACACACACGTGTGTGTTGCACACACATGCACCTTGGACAAGTTCTCACCATGTTGCAATCCTTCCCCAAGCTTCCCAGTGAGCTAGGTCACAGGTGCATGCAGGTGTGCCCAGTGTGCTCATATCCACCTAGGATCTGAATCTTCCGTGTGGTTTCAGTGTCAAGTAGTTGGTGTTCTTCTGCTTGTCCCACTGTGGTTGGGCCCATGATTGTAACTTTACTTATCCTTAAGAGTTCCCTTATGTGCCCCTAGAGAGCTAGACCAGGCTGTGGTGCTTGACTAGTTTTCCTTGACCTTTTTATTATGTTCTTGGCTGAGAGTATAGAAATGCCTTATTGGGACCAGTAGTTAGCGTAATGGCTATGTCACTAGACTCCCACGTAGTTGACCACGATTTGCGTCCTGGACCCGGTGGCTTAAAACTCAGGCCGGGCGTGTGTGCGTGCGTGCCCAAGATCCCGAGAAGAGACTGGAGGAGAAGGGGTTGTGGCGTGGCCATCCCCCCTGGGGGGTGATTTCTCGCTTTCTGTCTCTCTGTCTCTCTCTGTCTGTCTGGCGAGCGCACGTGCCCTATAGCAAAAACCTCTCCAAAAAAAATAAAAAAGAAATGCCTTATTAGCAGAGAAGATCAACAACTACAACATTCACATCTAACTATATTAAGTAAGGTGGGTTTTTTGGTTTGTTTTTTTGGGGTTTTTTTTTTTTTTTTTTTTAGCAGATTAGCTTACTCTGAAGTTTGTACTTAGAGTAAGGAAATATTGGTAAGTTATGTGTGAACTGTAATGTTTGGGAATTATCACAACAAGAATTAACAAATTTTCTTGTTATTAACACTTTTGAACAGATGTATTCAGTATTACAAACAGTTTGAAAATATTCATCCAACAAAGAGTTATAAAATGATTACCATGTGCCAGGGATATGCTAGATTCTGCAGTGAATACAACACTGAAAACACAGTCTCTGCCCTCAATGTGTTTTCAGTGTCTCATTTCTACACTAGATAGGAGACAAAACGTGAGGAAATTGTTAGCATACAGTATGATCATTATAGTAATGGAGGTGTGCAGAAGAAAGTATGGGGAAAGGAAGAGTTAACTGTGGTTGGGGGGACTCGGAACAATTCAGAGAAGAGGTAGTTTAAACTGAAGCTGAAATATTTTCTTGATTACAAGAAAATTCATGGTGTTCTTATACATATTGCATACACAGCATTTGCACATACAGCACTTCTCTCACGTGTACATATAAATGAAGTATTAAGCTTGAACATTCAGCCTCTTCCCTTTTCCTTGAAATCATACATAATCATATATACTCCCCCCCCCTTATCTTTCAGACAGTTTTTCTTGTAACTGCTCATTTGCTTCCATTTATTTTTCTCCTTGTGAGTTCTTAAATTTCTTGGGTTTATGAAAACAGGCAGACCCTATTTCTGCATTCTTTAAAACCTTTAGTAACAAGCAGAAGATCACACTTGTGTTGATAAATGAGGAAGAGAACAGGACACCTGATTGCTTTACTGTTTTACTGTCATATAAATGCTTTTCCACTATTTCATACAATCTGACGACTGAAAGTGGGATTGTAAAACCGTGCAGCCACTTTGGAGAACAGTTTGGATGTTTCTCAGAAATCTAAACATGGGTTATAGGATTAGCATTTCCACACCTAGTTCGTGTTTTTTTGGGGGGAGAGGTTTTTGCTATGGGGTAAGTATGCTTGCCAGAAAGAGAGAGAGAGAGAGAGAGAGAGAGAGAGAAAGAAATCACCCCCCGTGGGGAATGGCCACGCTGCAATCTCTTCTCCATTCTCCTCTTGGGATCTTGGGCATGCATGCACATGTGCCTAGCATGAGTTTAAGCCTCCAGATCTGGTACTCAAACTGCAGTTGACTACATGGGAGTCCAGCGACATAACCATTATGCCAACTACTGGTCCCTCCACACCTAGTTATACACTTAAGGGAAGTGAAACTGTATGTTTGTATGTGAATGTTCATAGTAGCATTATTCATAGTGGCCCCAACATCTCAACTGTTCAATTAATTGTTGAATAGATATGCAAAATGTGTTAAAATATCCCATAAAATGGGATATTTTTCAGTCAGATAAGGGATGAAGTATAGACACATGCTATAATATGTAGCCTTGAAAATCTTATTCTAAATGAAAAAGACTACACACAAAAGATAACATGTATGATTTAATTTATATGAAATGACCAAAATAGGCAAACCCATAAGAAAAGTAGTTTTGCAATTGGTAATGATAATTCAACTGCCATGTGTCTGTACTAAAACTCACAGATTTTAAAATGGTGATTTTTACAGTATGTGAGTCATATTTCAATTTTAAAAAGCTGTAACAATTAACTAAAATGAAATATTTATGTAGATACAGAAAGGGGTTTTCTGAGATGTCCTACTGTGAAGTTGGGGTAGACTTTTGAAGTAAGTAGTATATAAGTAGAGAGCTAGAGAAAGAATTGGTATTACTCAGGTGAAAAACTGGCAGTAATGGAAATGAGGAAATAGAGAAGAACGTTATCAGTTGGAATTAACAGCTTCTGTCACTGTATAAGATTATCACAGATATTTTATCTTAAATAATTTTCTATCCCATGGAGAACCAAAGCAACTTGTTTATTTATGTACTTAATTTTAAAAGTGTATTCATCTTCTTTGTATGAGAGAGAAAGCATCACATAAGCATCCTCAACAGTCTTCACACCAGCACCCCATCCTAGCCCCACAGTCAAGGCAAACCCAGCACATTCAGGTAGGCCCAGACGCAAACCTGGAGCCTTGTCATGTGTTTTCCTGCACAGTTCAGCAGCATTGCTTGCACTGCCATGGCTAGGCCTATAATGATACTTATTATTGGGTTGTCAGAAAAGTCATGACGCATTTTTGCATATAAAAAACATGTCATGACTTTCCCAATGATCTAACACTCTTGGATTACATTGAAGCAAATCTCAAGAATCATATTATTTTATACATAAGTATAAAATAATAACAAGAATTTT